GCCGATCCCACCCGCACTTTTGGAGATAAGGGCACACTGTTTGAGCGTGTCGTATATGCCCTCGATACTGTCATCCTTCATCGTGACCAAAAAGCAGCTAGACATCTGTGCATTAGGCGTCCCAGCGTTAAAGAGCGTTGGTGAGGCATGAATCAACCACTTTCCAGACATTAGATTGTACGTCTCAATGGCAGCATCCACGTCTTCGCCGTGAATACCTATCGAGACCCGCATAAACATGTACTGAGGTCTCTCCCAAACTCTCCCATCCCTACGAAGAAGATACGACTTCTCCAATGTCTAAAATGTGAACAAGGTAAAGTACACAAAGCGACTTTGCCTTCAGCCCGAAGTAGTTGAGATCGAAGTCACGCTGACTATCAACAGCAGCGTCTATCCGGTCACGATTTCCTCGAACCACGTCGATTAAAGCGCCCGAAATCATCGGAGTGTGCTTCTTAGTTTTGGAATTAATGTATCTGTAAAGATCCTCCATGACATCAGAAAATCTGCATGGAGTCTCCTTATGTAAGTTCGATACAAAGAGTCGAGCAGCGAGAACACCGTGATCATAGTGTTTAGTTACCAAACTGGCGCAAATCTCAGCAGCCAGAGAATCCAATTGCGATGTAGACACGCCGGCGAATAACCCCTCCACAACTTTATCGGTGATTCGACTCTGTTCAAGCAAAAAAGCGGAAGTTCCAACGTATACTTAAAGAAACGGACTAGCACGATAAAAGTAACGCACAATATCGATAAATTCTTCATGGAGGCCACCACAAAGACGGCGTAGCCTGTTCGAAATCTTTTCACAGCAGATGTTCTCATGACGTCCATCTAGGGGTCACAGGATAAAAATCATCGCAATATACCCCTCTTCACGACATATAGCGAGCTATCCTTCTCAGCAGTCTCACGAGTCCAACGCTTCTGTGACAGCATCGAAGAAGCCGCACGAGACCCGATTCAGAGTGCGACCAAGACTCGGGTTTGAATTAATGTAAAAAAGTAAAACAAAAGTCATTTGTAAAAAATAAAAGAGAAAATGCGCACTTTACTAACACTTAGCCAAAACCCAGTCTTACC